ATAATGCATTGTCGATGATTGTCAATGAATCTTCCACCAATCCTGACACCACACTTCTCCTCATAGAGCCCAGCCTCCCAGATAATCTGTTCTGCATACAGGTTGAAAAGGTATGGAGACAGTGTGCCAAAGGCAGGGACAACACTGATACTAATGGTTAACTCCACAATAAGGGATGTATCTTTCACTTTTCTGTAAAATGCTGGTCTGTCTGATACTTCTCTAAATCTGAACATTCAGATTATGACAGACTATGAAGAAGGAAGAAGAGGATATTTAGCAAATATATTTAACAAACATATGAAGAAATGCTCAAGATACTAGCTATTAGAGATTTAAATCAAAACACTGAGATATCATCTTACCTGAGAAACAATGGCAAATTTCAACAGAACAGCAAACAAACATTGGTGAGGATGCACAAAGATTTAAACTCTCATTCAGTGCTGGTGGGAGTATAAAATTGTACAGAGGCAGCCTGGCACTTCCTCAGAAGATTGAAATTAGAAATATCATTTGAATCAGCAGTCCCACTACTGGGGATAAACTCCAAAGAAAGCATGACACAAACAGATAGAGGCATACCCAAATTTATTGCAGGATTATTCTTTATATAGCTAAGAGATGAAAGTAGCTCAAGTGCGCATCAACAAACTGCTATGAATATTCACACAATGGAATATTACACAACATTGGAAACCCATAAAGAACTAATGAAACACTACACAACACAGATAAAGTCTAGAGGACATTATGCTGAGTGAAATGACTCAGTCACAAAAGAACAAATACTGTATTTGTTTTTTAAAAAGCAGGGTTCTGGAGGAGTGGTGGGAAGAGCAAGAAAAGAATGGATAAATAATGAACACTGCATTGGAATAGGTGAAAGGAAGATCAATTTGAAAAGAATGGGTAGTCAGACATCATGAGTAATGCAATTAACAATTTTCTAAGTTTTTCTTTTATACTAGTTTACTTACAAAGTTCGTATACACTGTTTTTAACACGATCTGCATTATTGAATGAAGAAGTGGGAAGGGGAACTAAATTGTATAAATGAGTGTCTAGGTAGCTGAAAATGGCACATATGGGCACAGGGCGATGAAAAAGCCAGGAGTGAGGACAGCACACTCCTCACTATCCCAGAGCAGAAAGCAGATAAAGAACATTTAGCCCAGCTCCATGGTGCCTCTAGAGTCGTACCAGCAGCAAGAGGTTCATTTATTAATTGTTGACTCCCAGACTCACAGTTGTGATACCAAGAATGGGGTTTATTAGGGAAGTAAGTTGGAGAGTAGGGGAGACAAAGGATATCCCCCAACACAAATCCAAGTTTAGTCCAGCAGTCCCAAGATACAATTCCTCAAATAGTCTAGGCTCCAGTTCAGAAGCACAAATTCAAGAAGCCTCTTGTTCCATCAGTCATCCAGCAAGGTTTGTCTCAGAGCAGTTGTATGTCAGCTTCTCCTTGAATCAATGGCCAAGAACAGCAAAAACCTTTAACGGTGGCCTTTATTTCAGGGCACCTCAGGGCTTATACCTTGCCACAGTCTCTCCACCAAGGTCTTGCTCTAGTCTCCCTCAACTCTTTCTGCCACAAGTCTTGCTCCTCAGTGTGGGAAGTACTATTTCATATCCTAGTCCCACAGCTGTTGATGATTTGCAAGAGCATGTGTCTATAGTTAATGTAGGTGGAGACCAGGGGGCTAAGGTAATGGCTAAAAGGCACCCACTTTAAGCTAACACCTTAATGAGTGAATTAAAATCCAATTTCTTTGTAAACTTGAATTCAAACAATTTTTTAAAAAGTAAATCACCATTAATTAATTAACAAACATTTATATGTATTAATTCAGTGAGAGCATTCAAAGAGTGTTCTATAGCTATTATCAAAACTCTCTGGAAATCCATAACAGTGATAATTTGGGAATTTATGTTGAGTTTGAGATCTAGGGTTTAGGGTGCAGGGAGGAAAGGTCTCAGATAGAACTTCATTTGTGGAGTCCTCAGCCCAGAGAGAGTGATGAAAATTCTCACTGGAAGCACTCACGGAGAAGGGGGCACAATGAAGAGAGAAGTAAACACAGGACAGGGCCCTGGGGTCCCAACATTTGGAAAACAGTAAGGAGACTGAGGGGCTGGTCATAGCAGTAGTTCAGGTCAGTGATGATAGTGATAGCTGTGTATGTGATGAAGAAAAGCAGGATTATGGATAAATTCTGAAAGTAGAACTGATTTTCATCTTTACAGATAAAAGGCAGGGGGATAGATTGTTAAGAATTCTTAAATTTTGGATCTTAGAAGCTGGAAAGATGAGTGTCATTATTTGAAATGGATTAGGTATGAGGACTTTTTCTTCTCAAAGTGTTAATAGCAGTAAATATACTGAAAAAATACTGAGAGCTAGTACATGCCAGGGAGTTCTGGTGACCTAGTGAGTAAAGGGTTGCATTGACTGCTCTGCAGGAGAAAGATGAGCAATCTCCCACGTGATAGGCAGCCTCTAGAAACTTGTTGGAGGGTCATCTATGAGTTAGTTCTGGCTTGATAGTAATGTGTTGTTGAAAATGTGCCACGTGTTCACCTACACTCATATATAATCTTCACTACATTGTGGTGGAGGGACAGCGCAGGAGAGGAAGGCCCTCTATGAGGTGGATTGATTCAGTGACCGGGATAATTGGGATGGGAGTGTCAGAGACAGTGTGATTGGCACAGGACAGAGCAGAGTTTAGGGCTGTTGTACATAGGGTCGCTATGAGTCGCAAGCGACTCGACGGCACATAACAACAATATTCTGGTGAGACCTGTGTTATTATCACCAAGTCAGTCTCTTTTATCAATGAGTAAATGTTAAGGCTCAGAGAGGTGACAGTGACTACCACAAGGGCATACACAAGTAAGGGAAACAGGAGTCTTCTCTTTTCCTCAGGTAATATAGGTTAATACTGTAGCAAGTGTTATTGGAGTGTCATAGGGCCCTTGAGACTGTGTGATCCAATCTATAGTGTGATTTGTTTTCCTCACCTAGGAGGATATTGTTGTTAAGTGCCATCAAGTCGTAGACGACTCATAATGACCCTATGAATGAAAGTCCTCAACACTGGCATGACTTTCATCCTTTCTCCAGGTTTATAGGGTTTCCAGAGGCAAGCTATTTACGGAAGTGGATGCCACTCCTGTTTCCAAGCTTGTTTTAATTGGGGAGCTCGACCAAACACTGTCCACCATCGAGAGTGAAGGGGAAGGTCATCCTAAATATGAGAACTTGCAAGTCCCCATGACTTAACAAGAAGGGACTGTGTCCTTACTCAGTTGTTTTTTCTTGCTCCTGGGAGTAATGAACTTGGGGCAGGAACTGGTAAAGGCAACTCAGTGAGTCTTCCCTGCTGCTTTGTGTGCAGACAAATACCCCCACTCAGGTCTCTTCTGTTTACACAGTAGAGCCCAATGAGGGATAGGCTGAGATAGTGGAAGATGGGTCCCTTAAACTCTAGATCTTGGGATCTTTAAAACCTTCTCTACCCCTCCAAAACCACTTGCAGAAAAATCTCCTGGAGATGCTGGGTAAGGTGGTGGCCACTGGGACCACAGTGACTCAACTCTGAGAGAATGCAGAGATTGGGACAGTGAGCATGCACAGCCAGCCTTCAGGTACTTCCTGCTGGCAATTCCTATATGGCCTAGAATCACACTTAGCAGGGTCTCTTGGGGATGTGCTTCAGGTGGCCATTCCCCTACCCACAGGTGATCCACTTCCACATTCTTCTTCTCTCTTACCTTGCTAGCATTTAAAATATGACTTAGTGTTTGTGTGTGGATAGATTTTAACCTAACAGCCAGATTTTGGGAAATGTTTTGTGAGGGTGTCTTTGTAGTTGCGGAGTTTGTTCTGCCTTAAGCAGATTTGTTTCGGTAGTTCCAGAAAAGGCTATTTATGTACATGCCTGGAGGGAAAGTTGCTGGGAAGGCAAAAAGGACTTGATTTTATTTTTGTCTAGCTAAGAAATTTCCCACTACCTTGCAGCTATGGAGGTCCTGTGACACAGTTCTGACCAATTAGATTTAAGTAGCTGCTGGGTGGGGCAACCAGAATGCTCCTTAAAAGAAGGCTGAGTTCTTACCATGACATTCCCTACTTACTGATTGAACGCCTAGAGCTCTGATAATCTCCTTCAGTTTATAAACTGGCTATGACTAAAAGGCCAAGAAACCTCATCTATGGCTTCCTTGAACTACCAAAACCAATTCTCATTATGTGGGAGAAATAAAAATTCCAAAATCATCCTTAAAGTTCCCACCTCTTTAAACTTTTTCACCTTTTCAACTATGACCATTAAACTCAAATATGTTAAAGCTTGATACCCTCCCCCAATCACAACCACCTGGCAGATTTAGGCCTTTTCAGGAAACTTCCTGATAAGTTTTCCTGTCTTCTCAACCCAGGGTTTGGCTGAGTGGCTGACATTAAGCAGGCTGCAAGACATAGTTCTAAGCCAGGTACCTGATCCTAGAGTTCACCATTTAATCTAACGTAGCCAATCAGACTTTATATGTTAAGTACCTGATGTAGCTCCACTCTCCTATTCCTTCATTACTCATCTCTCTTGCTGGCTACATACTCAAAAGACCATTTCTAGATTTTGTAATAGCTTGCACTTTATTACATATGCAACCCCTCCACACCTACCAGTATGATCTTTCTCTCTTTATCAGGATATCAGTTCCCTCTTGGGGGGGGCACTGAGTTTTCCACCCTTTATTCTGAGGGGAGGAAATGGAGTCTTTCAAGCAGACATGGACAAAAGGAGATCTGCAATTGATTAATACAGTTCTCTTAAAAGTATTTACACTTAAATAAGCACCCTTGGGATGTTGTAAAGGGTATTCAGGTTGAGGTTGCATGAGAGGCTAACTCTCATTCAAGGTACAGATGGAAATGAACTGAGATTGGTCTATCTTGGACCTCAGAAGGTGGAGAACAGAGTTCATTCTGCTAGTTAGTGTGATTAAGGCCTGTCCTCCCCAAACTTGTTCTGATGGGCAACATTCTTCACATCTAGGAGAGCCTAGGGAAGAGGCAAGAACAGAGTAGGTAAGAGTGAGTATTCCTCAGGGAGAGGTTGCCCCCACTCCAGTATTTAAAGACCCCATCCCCTAGACTATACCATGACCCTCATCTCTCTTTCTCTCCCTCTCTCACACACATCACATGAGACAGTCACGGAATGGGGAGGGTGTCAAGTCTACCCTGAGTGTGCATGCATTCAAGGGTCTGCCCAGGTGGGTACCTGATGGTGGACATAGGCCTGACAATGGTAACACCAGGTAGACAGGTCAACAAAGCTGAGGACTATTGGGTGTCCTGAGTCTTCATGATGTTGAACCATATGAGCATTGACATAACGACTGCAACAGACCTAAAGTTGAAGAGTGTTGGGCAGGGTGGGAAGCACTCACCTGAGATTTTCTTCTTCTATCCCTTCCCCTTTCTCTTCTCTGTACCTGATAGCAAGAAAGACACACCCAATTCTCTTGGATGGTTCCACAGCCATGACAGGGTTGGGTAAAGTCCAGGCCTATTGCAGGTATGGGGCATACTTCCGTCAAATGGGGACACCAGGGAAGTGGTGTCACAGCATAAAATGTAGCCTAGGGTGGATGAAAAAGAAGATGGAGACTCAATCTTCTCCCTACGAATTCCTATGACACATGCTCCTACCTGAATATACAAGTAGGCAAAAGAAGGAAGTTATCATCTCCACTTCTCTTTGAGCTCACCTCATCAGTGTCCCCAAAACCTATCAACATGGAATCATCCAGGTCCTGACCTCCAGCTGCCTCTCCTAGTAGCTTCTCTTGTGGAATCTGAGAATCTGGGGTCTCCTGGACATATAGAAGGAAGAGAAGTATTCTACAAATAAGTCTTTTCCCCTCCTCTTCTCTTTACCTGGGTGTGGTAGGCCTTACCTGAACCTCTTTGCTTAGTTTTGAGGTTCTGAGACTTTCAATCAGCTTACTGTGAGGGGTAGTTCCCCGCACAAGTGATGATGGGGAGGTCTGGTTGTCAGTACATGAAGCTAGTTTGGTGTTTCCCACCGTCTCCTCTGAGGTGGTCTGGTCTAGTGTGGTCCAACTAGTGGCTGCTTCCAAGGACTGGTCTTGAGTGATCTCCATCATAGCTATATTTGACTTAACCTGGACTGGAGTAGACTCTGCCATGGATAATGCTGAGGTAGCCTTCCCCATGTCTGTTTCCAGAATGTCTTCATTTGGTATAGCCATTCCCATGACTAACCCAGGATTGGCTGGTTGAGGTTCCTTCTTGGTGGCCAGCTCGGAACTGGAAGGTCCCTCCACCTTGTCTTCTATTTCTAGAAACATGGGAAGAAGATCCTTGAGTATGGATTTTATTCCTTTTTTGCCTTTAATCCCTGCCTCTTCCTGAGTCTCCTTCCCTGAGTTGTCCTCAGGTGTTCACGGCCACTCACTTTTGATCCGTAAGCTATGCCAGTATTTGCGATGGATGTGAATGGTCTCAGAGATTGAAGCCAGAGCTCCTGTTAGTGGGGGCCGTAGAGGGGCCAGCAAGGATGGTGGATTCCCAAGGAGAGTGCGGGTGCAAGCAGCCATGGAATCTGAGATGGATGTCAGGTTATAGCCACCCTGTGTTAAAGAAAAGGGGAGGGGAAACTCTGCAGGGGTACTGGGGGGACAAGACAACCTGTATGTGCCAACAGTCCCAGGTGAGACCATCACTGTTGAGTTTGGAAAGAGACAAAAAAATAATGTTCAAAGGAGATTTTAGGGAACTGCTCTGAGACAGTAGAAAGGGCAGGGCTCCAAGTCTTCCAAACTACCATCTCACAGTGGGAAGGAGAGTTACCTCTAGGATTAGGATAATGCGGCCATTTGCAAGGCCCATCAGTAGATGAGTGAGGTGGGCATAACCCTCAGGCGACACCTGGCAGCCCCCCAAGGGGTCTCCCCGTGCAGCATCAAAGCCAGCTGAGACCAGCACCAATTCTGGGTTAAACTGAGACAGGAAGAGAAGAGATACATGGGCATGATTGTGGGGGCTTCAGTAGGCAGTTGATAATGGAGACCCAAAGACATTAGACACAAACAGATGGAGAAACAAAGCCAAAGATGAATAAAGATTTGAAGACAGAGTGATAGAATGCGACCTAGAGTCTTGCCAACAAGGACACAGAGACCCAAGAACTAGAAACTCAGAAGCATTAAGACACCAAGAGAGGAGAGACAGTTAGAAGGAGTGTAGATTTATAGACATGAGACAGAGACATGAAGACATGAGAGATGGACAGAGACAGGAGACACAGAGTCACGAGATACAGAAACTCAGACATGGATACATGAAGACAGGAGTAACATAGATGAAGATATGCTCTCACGCCCATGCACCCTGGAAGAGACTACAAAATGCACACATCCTTCCCTGAGACTCACATGCATGGGATACAAGGTTTTATACAAAGTGTCAAAAAGAGGCATAAACACACTCTAATCACAGAAAATGACAGTGTAAATACCACACCTAGAGAACAGTCATGTACCACCAGCCATACACAAACTACAACTCTATGTTCATACTAGTCATGCACAAGCAGTTTCTCTCAGAGGAGTGATAATATACAGTAAGCCCTGTGGGAACACAACCATTTGCATGCATGTGTTTGTGCACACACCCAGAAAGACACAGTAGTGCCATCACCAGAGTCACAACAGCCAAACACACACTGCTGCACCCAGAACTAATTAGACACAAAGTGACACACATAAATTTCATAGAGAAGACAATCCCTGACAGTCATGTACATCTGCCCTCACAAAATCAGTCACATAAAATGTCTCTCACACTCAGTTTACACAGAGAATGTAGTCACATACAGTCACTGGCACAGTCTGACAAATACACACAGGTCATTACCTAGTCAAAGAGAGGCACACATAGCCACAGTTACACACAGAGATGGCTGCCTCACATAGCCCTCCTTTGAAAAGTCACACAGAGGCTGTCACAGGGACAGCATCATATGTTGTTGCTATGTACCATCAAGTCAGATACAACTCATAGCAACTTTATGAAGTACAGATCTGAACCCTTTCCTATCCTATCCTACATCATCCTCTTCATCTCTGACACATTTGAGCCCATTGCTGCTGCAGTCACTGTGTCAATCCATCTCATTGAAGGCTCTTCTCCTTTGCTGACTCTCTACTTTTCCAAGGAATAAGACCCTCCTAACAACATGCCCAAAGTATGTGAGACGAAGCTTTATCATCCTTGCCTAAAATATGCTATCTACTACACACAGAAAAGGTAATGATAGTCACCTGCATAATCTCACAAACATACTCAGGCCCCTTTCTTTCCTTGCATATTACAGAGAGATGGCAGTCACACATAGTCACTCTCACACATAAGCACACAGAGTAACTCATTATGAACATATAAATACAACCAGTCACACACACACACTCACTCACACATAAAGAAAGCAATCACATACAGCATTTGTGTATAGTCAGACAAGTATTCAAAGACTATGATAGTCATACTGCTCATGTTCAGCTAACAGTCACATACAGCCAACACAAGCTGTTGCATATGATCAGGCAGCCAGTAGTCAGACTCACACACTGAGAAAGCAGGTATATACTGCCCTGCCTTGCTCCCTGAACAAGCATGTCACCTAAATCCTGAGCCATACCTCATAGGCAATGGGAAGTACCAGACGATGCCAAGCAGCCAGGTAGTCGGGGTCACCTATACGGGGCCCATTCCAAGCCACGTTGACAGTGAAGCCTATGCCAGGGCCCTGGCCAATTTGGCTGCTGGCACCCTCATTTCCCATGGGGAAGAAGGTACCATGATCGTAGCGGTGAAGGGACATGTAGAGCACACTGCAGAAGAGAGGAAGGTGGCCATGGTTTGTTAGTGGCTATCTTGCCTCTGTGGGTCTCCAGGATCCCTAAGGTATGACTTGCCTCCCTCCTGGTCACAGTCCCCTTGCACCAATTCCTCACCTGGGGTCATCCTCAAATATGTGCTGAGTTCCATTACCATGATGGATATCCCAATCTATGATCAAGATCCTAGGATTGGGGGTGTAGAGAGGATAGCTCCTTAGAAACCAAGAATATGCTCCCCCTGGGAGAGGGATGAATTTTTTTTTTAAATTTTTTATTGCTGGTGGTAGGACCTGGTGCCTTTGAGGAAAGTGCTAGATGTCAGGTTTCTGGGTCCAATCAGAGTAAATGCAAAAAAGCCAGATCTCGGGTACTTAAAGCTTCACTCTGGGCTTGAGTAAGTGCTGAGGGATGGGTTTTGAGTGCTGCTTGAATAACCATTAGGGGCCAGAATTACCAGGCAATGGACCCCAGATCCTGTTTATGAACACCAAGATGCCTCAACCTGCTAGTACTATTGACGTAACCACTGAGAGGCTAGAGCTTTGGTCCTCACTAGGTAAAGTGCTAAATGAGTGTACTCTTGGCTGTTCCTAAGTTCTAGGGTGACACGATGGGTCCAGTGGGCTGAGGGCAGGTTTGCCAGGTCCCACTGAAGGACAGGATTTGGATGTCCCCAGAGAGGCCTTACCGCAGGGCATGCCCACTGATGGTCTGGGCATGGCGAGCAGCCACAGCCACAGAATTGAAAAAGCAGAAACCACAAGCAGCATCCCACTCTGCGTGGTGTCCTGGAGGGCGGACCACAGCAGTACCATTTAGTACCTGGGAGAGAAGCAGAGTGCTAAGATTAACCATCATTCCTCTCCACCTTACCTCCCCTTTCTCTTCTGTCTATTCCATCAGCTGCTAAGGTCCCTTTTCTGGCCTCCTGTTCTATCTTTGCAATCTCTCTAGTGATGCCTCTCTCTTCCCAGGCCCCTCTCTAAACCTCCTTTCCTTAGGCCCAGCCCAACTCTTCCAGATAACTCTTTGTCTTTTTCCTCAGGATTTCCCCTCTCTAGTCTATTGCCCACCCCAAAAAGGACACACCTCTCCAGAGAGCACAGCCTCCACTAGACGGCACACAGCACCAGTGGCAAGCTGTGCACAAGCGAAGGTACTGGGACAGATATAGATGGAGTTAAAGTTGGCGCCTTCACGGTGGAGCTCCCGGGTTTTCATGTTCTCTGTGGCCCGAAGACGAGCCAGATACTCGGCACTGGAGGCACAAAGAAGAGCATCAGTTGGCAATGAGATGGTTGCAACAGCTGTGTGTGCTCAACACTGGTCAGAGTCCTAGGAGAGAAATCCCAGGCTCTTCCATAAGATCCCAGCCCCTTAGGCACAGGGGGTTTGACCTGTGGCAGGTGAGCAGTTCAGCATCTGTGGCAGGGCGCGCAGGCAGGGTGAGGCACAGTCTGGTAAGTCCTAGCTCCTCCAGATGCTGCACAATTCGGGAGATACGCTGGGGCATCTCGGGGTGGTGGCTGAGAGTAGGGGGAAGCCAGAAATGGGGACCTGATGCTTGAGAAGCAAGGGAGGAACCCCTACACCCACTTATCCTATCCCTCAGACTGCATACTTGTCCCATAAGTTGTAGTGACTCATCATACGCTGGTCATAGACCAGCCCTGTGCGAGCGTGGAGCACCGGCCAAGCCAGGATTCGGGGTGTAGGGGGCTCCAATGGCCCCTCCTCCTTGTCCTTCTCCATGATGTCCTCATCGAGGGTCTCAGCTATAAGGGGAAGGTCACATTCACCCTACTCTCCCAACCTGGTCCCCATAATACACTGGGGCTCACTTCCCCCAAAGGTAAAAAGGGGTTTTTGTTAGGTGCAGTTGAGTCAAGTACAATCCATATTGTTCTCTCTCTCTCTCT